AAAGGCCCCTCAGATCTGTGGGGATCAAAGCGTGCCCCGGGTGCCTGAGCCACCGTGGCCTCCCTCAACATATTCAAATGGGGCTTCCTGAAGACGCCACAAGCAGACCTCAGAATGTAAACGAGGCGGGAAAATGGGGTAACAATAAATGCCTGGAAATCTTTGCACCCTTCACACAAAACAGTAAATAAAATAGTCAGCGAAGATGGCCGCAAATTTAAATATATCTGAATCGGCAAAAATGATTTCCATGCCTTTAATTCTTATTACTTGAAGTAAGAAGTGTAAAAAATGTTGGTATACTGCCAGAATTTGGAGTATGACAATGTGATAGAAATATGCCATTAGGTCTGAAGTGAACCCTTAACCCAAAAGATTTTATGAGCCATAAAATAACAGCAGAAGAGTTTCTTAACAAGGTTTTAGGTTTGTTATAACAAGATTTTATTTTGTTATATCACAAGTTTACTTTACAAGAACTATTTATTAAAGTAATAAAACAAACAAACAAACATAAACAATAAACAGCACCCTACATATCCTACACGGAAAGCATAAGTTCCTTTAAATCAAGACTAAAAACACATTTGTTCAGGATTGCCTTCGACTGTTCTAGTTAAAAAGTTCAGCTGAAACATCATTAGTTCATTATTTTTTTTCTTTAGTCCAACTGCTTTTAATGTTCTTTCTTGTTTCTGCATTTTTTTTATTTTCTATTTTTTCTTCTACTTGCTCTGATTCTGTTTTATTTTCCTATTTTTTAATCATGTAAAGCACTTTGCATTGTCTTTGTATTGAATTGTGCTATACAAATAAATTTGCCTTGCCTTGCCTTACACCCTGATACCTATACAAATTTGGTTACAGCTGCTTTAGAAGATACACCTGACTGGTGGCCAACCAGTTGGATAAACAGAAATACTGATTATTTTCTCTTGCAAGCCTAGCAGGTCATGTTAAGAATAATCTTTCCTGCAAAATTTGCTCCTGTAGAGAAAGGACGGCATGAAGTCATAAAAAAGCAAAACATGTGAAATAAACTAGTTAAAATTTAAATAATACTCTGCATATCATATAGTTTTTATATCAGTTTGTCCAACTTATATTCAAGTTTTCAGACGCATCTAGTGAATCATATAAAAATAACAATAATTGATAAATCAGACCAATTGTTTTGGTATTATAGGAGAATTTTGCACACTGATGTAAAAGTTTACGCCGTTTTTTTCATTAGTACCTTTTCTACTCGTTTTTTCTCAGGTCGACTCCATGGCATCTAGAATGTTTGGTTTGTTTTCCATTACAAATTATATCTGCCTCAATGTGGTTGTCAAACTGCAAGGCTGCTCCACACTCCCAAAAAGTGAAATCACATCATTTTTATGAACACAAACACAGTCCATGGTTGTTATCACACTCAGACTGCTAGGGGGTCTCCTCCCCCCAGCAGTCTCCTCAATGGATTTGATACTGAACCATGGATTAGTATCAAACCAAGTGTAACAGGTAGAGAATGTGTGAGGGTGAGCTAATGCTAACTAAAGGTAGCTTGCTATATGTATAAACAGGGCTGTTGACTCTCACCCATTGGGTGTGAGACTCAGTGTCTCAGTGCATCTCAGTGTCTTCACACGCTCTCAATCCATATCCTCAAATTTTCACGCTAAAAAGTGACGGACATTAAAACTTAACTCCATTCCACTTATTTATATATAAAAATACCATGGTGATAAAATCCTGTCCTCGTTTTCAAAAGGTTCTTATCCAGTCCGTATTTTTGCACTAGCCCACCTATTCACTGTGCTGACAGCAGCGGAGGTTAGGGACTTGCGCCAAATATTGAAAAAATACCGGGATTTCTGAGTATTTATGACGAGGTTTGTCATTTTAATTTCATCTTATTTTATCTGGAATAAGATAATTCACTTCATAAATGCAGGATCAAATCAAAAGGTTTGTTTTCTCTATACCTAGTTCTTTTTTTTTTTACTGATATTTACTCCTTGTTTGCTCTAGTTTAGGCACCTGATTTAGTCCCAGTTTTAGTCCATGTTTTGCTCACAAGTTAAATCATTATTGCTCAGTTTTGTTTGATAATCTCCAGTTGGACTTTAGGACTAAATAAACCAACAATAAACTAAATTAAATTCTTAAAGCTTTCGGGTATTCCTGACAAACCCATAGGAGGTCCACAAAAAGAAAAAGAACCATTGCATTTTATTTTTCAAAAGATCAGCCACACAAGAAAAGACCAACCACATCCAGAGAGGATGTGCAGAGCAACTCAGTTACCCAGGACTGATATAAAAGGAACCCGAGGGATGTTCTTATTTTATTATTACTTATCTTATTCATTTATTCTTATTTTGGTCCATTGAATATGTTTAAAAACTTAATTTCCATCACATCTACCAAAATCAAACATCCACCGAAGTGCTGACTTGTGTCATGGTAAGATTTTATTGAATCTACAGCCTCCTAGAAGGTCTGAATTGTTTAGCTGTTTTGTCAATCGTAAAAAAAAAATAATTATAATAACTAAGATAATAACTTAAGACTTTTAATCCTTAGCCTATTACCAAATATTCATACACAGTGTAGTTTACACAGGATTCAATTGAGGTGGTTCCTGTATTAGTGTCAGTAATCCAATAATAACTTATTAGTTCCCTGTCTGTTATGTTACTTGAACTGCATAGAATAATTAATAAACACAGATGTCGGGTCCATACTTCTTTACTTCAGTTCTCTGAAAATCACCAGAATATAAAAAATAATGTATATTGTGTGAAAAATTTTCCACATAACTACAGATCACTTATTGTTCACTCAATCACTCAGTAACATTTACTGTGCTATAAAAATTCAACAATTTACAAACTTTGTTTCAGCTAAATCCTCTGAAAACCCTCAACTTATAGCTCCACCTATCCTCATCTAACCCTGACAAGGGTTGCATGTCCAAATTCTTTCAAAATCTCACTCCAAGGTTTGGTGAAAAGTTGGCACCCCTGGTATATCAGGTCAAATACATAAGCCCAACGACATTGATTTAAAAGTTAAAGATGTTTTTGTGAGTGTTAAATAACTGACAGTCTTCTGAGGTTTGCTATTTTCAGCAGGCATCTAAAAATGGCAAACCAGGCACTAACAATTGTAATGGTTGCACATAGCTAGATAAGCCTAAAGAATCGAACCATGCTGTGTAGGAAACAGGGGAAAAGGGCCATTACTTCTCTTCATTAGCACAGGGATGCTGTGGGTAGCCCCTTCCCCCATCCTGAAGCCGTCAGAACCGGCCCAGTCCTCACGCAAGCATCATCTCCAGCTGCAGTGAGAGCAGGTTCAACCTCTTCCAGACGTTTATTAACCCCAAGCCATTAGTGTTTTTTGTTTTTTTTCCTCAAAATCTCCACAGTGGAGCATTACTAATCCAAAATGATCGAATGAAAAAAAAAAACAATAAAAAAGAAAAACAGCTAAAATGCCTTAAAGAAGAAAGTTAAACAGAGTTTCTCTAACGGGTCACTATGTCTATAGGTGGGTTAAACCTCTGCATTGACAGAAATTTGACAATTTAATTTGCGCTTTTATCATGTTTAGGATGATTATGCTCAGTGATAACTTGTGGAAATATAACATAATTTTGTAACTTCTAACTTTTAGGATAAGCAATGTCCTATTTTAATAATAAGAAGTTGGCCTCAGTGACTGCTTATTCAGGCTGCTACAACATAACAGAGTGGCATTTAATTATATATAATGTTAGATTTAGTCCACTTTCACCATATGTTTATGCAGAAGGATGGATTGCTGGAAAATTAAAGCTGCAATGCTTTTACTAGAAATAAATAAAAACTGATTGATAGTATTATTAGCTGGACCAAATTAAGATGCACATACTTAAACTTCTGTCTATCTGTAGGGGGGCTTATTGGACTGATTTGTGAAATATTTTAGGATATATCTTAAGATATAAAATGTAAATTTTTGTTGTGTAAATTGTATTAAGAATATTTGAGATGTGTTTAAACTTTTCTGTCATGGTTCCTGAGAGTTTTAAGTATTGAATGAAGCATGGAATAAATTAAATGGAAGAAAAAGAAGAGCTGCAATTAAGCTGTTTATTCTCGTGTGTTTTGACAGAAGGATCCAAGGCGAAAGACACTTTTCTGCAAAAAGTTGTGTTTTTTTTCTCCATAATCACTCTGACTCTATAAATTCATCAAACGCTGCCTCCCTGAGCCCCCATGAAGCCTGAGCGCGGGGGTCACCTGTATGCAGCATTACCGAATTAGCCGCTATCTAACCCAGACCTGCTGTGGCGTGCTGACACTAATCCAGGGCCCGCTGGAGAGCCCTGTCTGTGTTACATTATCATGTCTAATCCCCATAATCTCTCAGCTGCACCGCTAAACGCTGTTCCACCTCGGCCCTCTTACTTCATACCCTTTAACAACCTTAATGAAGGGCCAGGCCCTATTACTGAGGCTACCCCTACAGTGGTGGGCTGGGTGACGGCCGTAATCGTAGGCCCCCTGCGCAGCCACCCATTCAGTCTTCCAGGCAGCAGGAATTGATGTAATTCATCGCCTGGGGCAAAAAGCAAACCAAACATATGTTCAACAAATCAGGGTTTGTGTATTTTCTTGTCACCGTCACTGTGCAGGTCTATTAGAGTCACTGATGAGATCCAAAGCGAAGAGCCCGCCACGTGGGAAAATGAAAGCTTTTGATGTGCTTGTGCCACTTTCAAACCCCCCTGCTTTCATGAGACGCTGGTGATGAGCTGACCTGGGTTATTAAAATGCTGCAGAAAAGATGCAGCTCTCTCCTTCTTTTTTTTTGCCGTCAACATAAATGGCAGTAGGGGGGATTGGCTGGGATGAAAAGGTTGAAAGGGCTCCTGTATTAAAAATGGCACTTGATCCATTAAAGTAGGATTTCTACTGTCTCTTTGTGTAATTACCTGCACCCGCCAGCTCTGCGCCCGGGCTTACCTTGTTTACACTGCGCGTCTCGCAGCCTGGCTGTCTCCCTGCAAGGCTTCGTTACACTGTCTTCTCCTCTGCCTTTGTCTCTCTTGATGTCTTTCACTTGTCTGTCTTGGCTGTCACGGCCAACCTTGAAAGAGGAGGCGTAAACACACCCAGAAGAGCAATGTCAATGAAAGCACCACATGAATACATACAAGTTAAAGCAAGCCTTCTAACGCTTTTTTTTCCTTCAAATTAGTCATGTAGATGTTGCATTCATTTATTTACAATTTACAATTTGGCACTCATATAACAGAGACCCATTAATGTGCTTTGCAATGTTAATCAAATGCTAATGCAATTGCATATCCCCCTTTTACTGGTCCTTCCTCCTAGCAAACAAGGAGCACACTGACTTAATTGTGAGGGGAGAAAAACAGCACATATAGACTTCCTCTCATATTTAATTTTATCTTTGAATAAAAGAGCTATAGGAAAGTATTAATCTGCTTAACATTTCTAAGTACACCCTCCAAAGGATTTTGCTTTTTTTAATCTTACATATGCTCAGCAGAGTTACTGGCAAAAACTGTACATTTTCCTCATTTCATCCTTTCAACATCAAATGGTGAGCAGCAAAAATTGGATCAGACTTCAAAGCCTGCGATGTGCTCCAAGTCACGGAGTGGCTCTTCTATTTCACATATTGAATCCGAGCAGGATATCAAAGTGCTACCAAAGAACCTCAGGTCTTTACTAAAAAAGGGGTCTAACATCTGTAGAAAGAGGAGCGCAAAGACAAATCACCTCGGGGGAAGAGCGAGCATTTATTCTCAGCCGTGAATTTCCAGTCTTTTGATTCTGCCCATTCCTGTACCACCCTGTCTTCTCCACTGAGACAGAGGTTGGAGCAAGAGAACTCTTTTGTCTCAAGGACTCAAAAAATTTCCCAAAGAATAATCTGGGTTAAAGCTGCTTTGTAGACAAGAAGCGTTTTTTTTTATGTTAAAGGAGAACAAATGCTCATTGATGTCCTGGGACTTACATCTCCTTCTGCTGGGTCATGTGGATGAGACTCTACATTCTTTGGGCTGCACCTGTGGAAGTAAATATTACTAAGTTAAAAACAAACGTAAATACAGTTGGTATTATGTAGCTTCTCTAGGATATTATATAAAATGGCAAATATGCTGACAATCTGCCAAAGCAAAGAGTTTATAGGATCATCTTTCCTGCACATTCTATGCATTACTGTTTTATGCCCTTGCTCAGATCAATAAGCTCAAGGATCCTGTTTTTATTTTAGTGTTAATGAACCAATTGCTGGTCATCAGTGGCGGCCGGCCCATAGGGGGCGCTGGGGCACCACCCTCCCTGATAAGGTGAGAGAAACGTAAGATATATTTTTACAAATTACCTCATAAATGTCACTTTTACTCTCTAGAATGTGTACCTATAAGCAAAACAAATTATATAAACTACATTTCCCTACCTACTGTCATTTATTTGTGGATTTCCACAGACAGACTCCTGCCGTCTCTGTATTGGGGCGCTGATCAGACTGCCCCACATGTGCAGAGAATCTGCCAATCATGTACTATTGCTAGGTCAATTTAATAATTTAATGGCCAATCAACGTCTCAGAATTTTATGGTCTTGGGGCTTTGAAAATACTGCCCTTTAACAGGCTTCTGCAACCAATACGCAGGTGCAGACAATTAGAGGGACAAACGTAACGAGCGAGGTGCAGCTTCCACCAAATTCGGTGAGATCCTTATTTATCTACCTGTTTGCCAGAAGAACATCTTTAAATAAAAATAACTGTTTCCAGTAGAAACTGATTAATAGGGTCTTAATAATATTGCCTATTATATTTAGTATATTATATTATATTATATTATATTTAGTATATTCAAAGTATATACTTCGGAGGATACGCATGTAGAGAGAAAAAACATGGTCAATTTAGAATAGTTTAGGGTTTTACTGACAAGTAGCAAGATTCATTTAAAGACAGTTTCAGCAGCATATTGTTTAAAAAGATTCACTTTTTATTTCACAGTGGTAAACAGAGATAGGAGATTACAAAATGTAGAAAACAAGCTTTCTAGTAAACATCCGTTTCAGTAAGTCTGCTCTTTACAAAAGAACGTCAGGAGTCAAACAAGTATATATAGTATTATCAGGGTGGTGCAGGGTTTTTGAAACAGCAGGTCACCAAACTGTGTTAGCTGTCTTGGAGGAGAATGCAGAGCCGAGCAGAGCAATAATCAGACACTGCTACTAAAGGCAAGCTACAGATAGACAGGTCGGTTTTTAGGGCCAAGTTTCTGAGACAATGGTTCGAGATGGTAAAGAGGAGACTTATCAAGACAAAGGTGATTTGGTTGTCATACAGTAACTCAAGAGGAAAGAGAAGATTTATATGACCCAACAATATACGACAAGCAGTGTTGCCAGTTTTTAATTGACATATATTGCACATTGGAATAAATGGCAGATCAAACTAAAAACGTGTCATGTAAACATGTCTATTGGAATATTCTGATGGGATTTGGCAGGATTGGAATAAAATTGTAATCCCACATAGAGGAGTGGTTTATGCTGTTTTCAAAAATATGAACTGGATACATGTAAAGACCAGACAGTATTGAGTTATTCTGAATGAAGCAAGCCGACCTGAGTGTGCATGAGCACCCCATGTCAACATGAAGTAATTATGCTTTGAGTGGCCGATCGCTCTGGCTAGCTCTTTTCAGAATATAATTAAATAACACATTTTAAGTTCAATTCGCTGTTTTACTCTATATGAATCTTAAGCAAAAATTAAATCTTAAAGACTCTTAGCAGCATAACCTGAACCACTTGCGATTGGAATATCCAGCAAATCATCTCAGGGCTGCACCGTCTCCTAAGGCAATCATATTTCAAGATCCCCTTAATTAAGCTCCTGGCCTAGCTTCTTTCAAACTTTCACCCAACTCCAACCCATCTCCTTCCTCACTCTCAGACTATTCTCAGTCTCACTCCTCCTCTGGCTTATACCACCACCAGTGTCCATGCCCCTGGGGAAGACTATTCTAATATGTTTCCTAGGTTTCTCATCCAAGTGAATGCTGATTTACTGCATCAAAATCTTCTGCCGTGGCCAAGCGCCAAAGAACATATTTGATATATGTCTTTATCTGCTTCTGTCTCCTCGAACCCCAGTCGGCCTCAGCAGATGGCCGTTCACACTGAGACAGGTTCTGCTGGAGATTTCTTCCTGTTATAAGGGAGTTTTCTTCTCCACTGTCGCTACATGCATGCTCAGTATGAGGGATTGCAAAGGCTCAATGAGTCCTCGCAATCAGCTGGTTTTCCTTAGATAAATATATGTGTATATATTTTATCTCTTTTTATTCTTATTTTTTGTCTTTATTAAATTGTATATTTGGATGTGTGTATATATAATATAAAACTGTAACTGGAGCGTGTAACAAAAGTAATTTCCCTCTGAGATTATTAAAGTATTTCTGATTCTGATATATTGAAGAATATGATTATGCTACTTGTATAAATAAATTGAATACTTTTATAAACAGAGCTTTTCTCCAAATGAGTCTCTCCAGGTTGAATTACTTATATCTGTATAAACAGTGGGCTACATTTTTTTATTTTTAAATATGAATACATTTAAGTCCAGTTGTCAATGTTTTATCTTTTTATAGCCTGGGTGTATGATTATGCAATTTACAGAATGCACAGTGGCAACATGTGTCTTTGCATGATCACTTCTGTTGCTTTTAAAAAACACAAACACCAAAGAGCCCACACATGCAATTACACAAGGATACATGCCAGTAACTGTCATGCTTTGAGTTTAGAGGAATAAATTCTCTTCCAGTTTGGAGCTGGCGATGCTGTTTGGATGCAAAATCTTCGAATTAAAGCGTGACGGAGAACAGAAGAATCAAAAGGGAAAAGTACAGCGTCTAGGTGAGGATATAGATCTCACAGAAAGAAAAAAAAAATGGGCCAGATCATGTCAAAATAAATAGAAATGGAGAAATTCCAACACTGATTAAACAGAATTGTTAAGTGGAGGTTTGAAGTCTTTCTCACTGAGGAATATGATTGTAAACATGGAGAGAAAAATCCCAAATGAGGCACAGCTCAGTTTGGGTATTTTACAAGCACAACATTTTCAGATGTTTAAATCTAGTATTTTGGAGCTAGAATCTGGAGATGAGTTTTCACAGCAATATTTGAGGATTTGAACCAGGCATTTTGCAGTTCTAATTTAAATTATTTCTTGATGTGTTAGAGCATAATTTATCTATTTATTTATCTTTTGACAAAAATAATTCAGAAAGGGGTTGGAGGACTTGTGATGATTGTTAAAAACCAGAGCGTAATGTTACCATCCGCCCCCTGTTTGATGCCGTTCAGTCAGTGGCCGCTTTCATGCCTCTCACATACTTTCTTAATGACCGGCCTGCCCATGTGCTGAATAAACACAAAGCCCCCAGTTCCTACATCTGGAGACCAGTGCAGCGCTCAGCCTTATTTGTGGTCAGACAAGTGTGCTATCTTGGTGGAAAGTTATTTATTACATTTATAAAAAGGGAGAAAGGCAGTACTCAGGGAGGAGCTTTCTCCTCTGGGGTGAAACAGCAAAACATTAAATGCTAAGCGTAGCATCAAGACTTTCAGTTCAACCCACTTTACAAGACAAAAAGGCCTAATTCATATGCAGTTATATACAGAATCAAAATCTGCCCCAATTCATTTGAAAGCAATCAAGTCATATGCAGACACAAATAGAAACACTCTAGCTCAATCCAAATTAAATTTGTTTTGGGTTTTTTTTACTCAGAGTTTGTTGCAAACATGGACAGAGAGCAGTTGGACCATATACTGTATTATATTATTATATTGATGTTAGATCAATTATTTCCATCTCAACTATATGAGGTTGGTGACTTACATCTGCCCACATCTGAATTTGGGGCAATTAAAAAAGTTACTTAGTATTATTAAAATCTTTAAAGGCTTTGATGGAAAGTTTTATAATATACTGTCATAATACAGTGGGGCAAAAAAGTATTTAGTCAGCCACCAATAGTGCAAGTTCTCCCACTTAAAAAGATGAGAGAGGCCGGTAATTTTCATCATAGATATACCTCAACTATGAGAGACAAAATGAGAAAAAAAAATCCAGAAAATCACATTGTCTGATTTTTAAAGAATTTATTTGCAAAATATGGTGGAAAATAAGTATTTGGTCAATAACAAAAGTTCATCTCAATACTTTGTTATATACCCTTTGTTGGCAATGACAGAGATCAAACGTTTTCTGTAAGTCTTCACAAGGTTTTCACACACTGTTGCTGGTATTTTGGCCCATTCCTCCATGCAGATCTCCTCTAGAGCAGTGATGTTCTGGGGCTGTCGCTGGGCAACACGGACTTTCAACTCCCTCCAAAGATTTTCTATGGGGTTGAGATCTGGAGACTGGCTAGGCCACTCCAGGACCTTGAAATGCTTCTTACGAAGCCACTCCTTCGTTACCCGGGCGGTGTGTTTGGGATCATTGTCATGCTGAAAGACCCATATCTATGATGAAAATTACCGGCCTCTCTCATCTTTTTGAGTGGGAGAACTTGCACTATTGGTGGCTGACTAAATACTTTTTTGCCCCACTGTACATGTAAACAGTAAGCAGCAGCGTATCAGACTAGGTAGTACACATATAACGTTCGTCTCTATTGCTGTCCAATAAACTCTCTACACCAAGATGGTGTAAAAGTTTGTTTCATTGGCAAAAAAAATGACTTTAGTGGATTTGTCAAAGACAGAAACACAGTTGAAGGGAAAATGAGAGACAAAACACTAAACTGATGGTGGCTATTGTTCAATAGCTGGGGTAAGGTTAAAGAGAAGTAAAAGGATATGACTTCAAAAATTAAATGTAGTGTAAATGAACATAAATCTTAAATAATAATGGATACCAAAGCTGACCTTATGTTTTCTTCCCTGTTGGTTGATCCTCTGGCCGTATTGTGACAGTTCTGCTCCTGGTGACAATGATGTTGACGTACCTGACGGCCCCTGTAAACTGCACAGGATGCCACTATCAGATGTAGCCGATCATAACAGAAAATAATCTCAACTTTTTCCACCTCTCCCTGTTGTACAACAACTTAAAGAGAGTCACAATCTGAATGTTTCATAATAATCTTGATTCTTGTTCCTGTGGACTTTCAGATGTTTACATTTGTCTCTAAACTTGGACTTTTTTTGTTTTATGTTGACTATCCGACCATTTATAGAAAATAGCTTTATTTTATATTTGTAGGTGATGAATCTAATCTGTTGAGGAAATGTGGTATAATGGCATTTTTTGTTTTTCCTTGGATGGTCACTAATATAAATATATATATATATATATATATATATATATATATATATATATATATATATATATATATATATATATATATATATATATATATATATATATATATATTATGCAGTATATAAGAAGAGAGAGAAATCGAAAATAGAAAATGTAAATGCTTAAGCATTCACATAAGCTGTTGTTCTGTGAATATTGAGATATATTACACCCTGTCGGAGGGTAAAAAAGGCATGCTGAGTTACTCCCTCAACCCGCTCTTGTGTTTTTCTGATAAAATTATATGCACAGGGAAAGAACGCTCAAGTACATTGTTGAGCAATGGTTCTACTTTGCATGGTCTAATCTGATCGATGGTGAGCACGTCCCTCGGGCCCTGCTGAGATCTAAGAAGCCACCAGGCTCATACATTTGAAAGGCATCTGTTTATTTTCAAGATGCAAATGCAGCCCACCTCAAAGGCTATAAGCTGCGAGGAACACACAATGTGAATGTGCTGGAGTGCTGCATGGGGAGGGGAGGGGTGGGGCGGTGGTAGAGGGGGCCGAGGCCCCACTTGTGTCAGGTTCAGGTTCCCCCCCCCCATACATCCCGTGAACCCCCAGTGGCCACACACAAACACGCTTGTCTGGAAAGAAAGGCAGTTGCGACAGAGAGGCTTTCCTCACACCAAAACCATGTTTACCCATTCAGCAGCTTTATTTACAAGGGCTTAATGGAGCACATTTACACAAGGTGTGCAGGCGACTGAGAAGCTCCATGTGCCAGATGAGGGCAGCCCTTAAGAGAGCCAGTGGAAACAATGCCAGATCTCCTCCCTCTGCCCTCCTCTCTCCAGCCCCTTTTGGCACCCTCTCTTGTCCTCCACTGAGAGGCTCCAAGCATTGGGGGGCTGGGGCTGGGAAGGTTAATGTGCCCACTTTGATCTTCGTCAAGGCACACTGAGTAAGAATTAATTTACATTTCAGATGAAAAGGTTGACAGTATAAAAAGGCATCTTGTTTCTGGTATGTGAGAGCTGTGTAATAGGCCAGGAATTTGAGAGAGGAAGTTGTGAGGAAACAGAAGGGATAAGCCCCTCTCTTGCCTTTACTGGGAACTAGATGAAAGGAAAAACGAATCTCAGTATGCACAGTTCTCCAGAAACATGGGGACCAAATGCTATCCAAACTTTCAAAAGCGTTGATGCATTATTAATTAATAATCACTCTTTCGTGGGCAACTGATAGAGATCAAAAAGGTGTTTCACAAAGATACAAGGTTTGACCTTTATTCACATTGTCTCATAAAAAAAAATACCCAGAGAGCGAGATGAGATAATCCAGATGTGTAACATAACTTTGTGATGCACTTCTTAGAAAAACTTTTCATACCTGACTGTATGCGGATTGCAGCTTCTTCTCGCTCCTTTTTTATTTGCGTGAGTTTCTGCCGTGCAGCGTAGCCCCTCCAGGCTAGAAGAAGAAACAGAGTGTGTGAAAGAGAAAGCTGACCTACCTCTGTGAAACAAAATAGACTGAATATACTACATAAGATCCCACTTCAAAACACTGCTAAACCAGGTGGCCATGGAACAGCTTCCTTTGAACCCTCTAAGGTCTTATTGTTTGCTCTGAAGCATTGCTCTTAACCCTCATGGGTCAACCTGTGGTTATCAAACTATCCCTTTCAGGACGATTTACAGACACAAACCAGAAAGAGACCAGTAATCAAGCTTACAACAAACTGCAACTGTTTTGTTGTTACAGAACAAAAGAACACAGGAACGTGTTTGCATGTTTTCAGCTTATTGTTTAATATTTTTGGTTGATTTTAGCGTAACTCCACCTGACTGGATGATGATGGCTCCTCGGTGTCTCTTCTCCTTTACTTTCCGATATCGGCGGGCACCAAGCCAACCTTTAGCATAAGCTTGCATCACCACCACCCGAGCTATCACCTCCCGCAGCAGCAGGTTCAGCTGCTCCACATGGTAGTACTTCAAAAATACCTGAAAGGACACTTGGTTTACCTTTGCTCTTTCTGTTTTATCACATTTATAATAATAAATCATCTTTTACTAACTCATACTTCCCATTTATTTACATTTTAGTTGTAAAAATAATAAATCATGCTACCTTTGTCTTCCCCAGCACCACACCCTGTAGTTTGGCCCGTTCCAGTATGGCAATTACATTTTCTCTGCTTGTCTCAGGCAACTGGTGAGCTCGAAATGCAAGATAATAATATCTGTAAGATAAAAAAAAAAAGACTGAACTACATAAATTAAAATATTTTATTTCCCTTCTACAGATAAACAAACTGGCTGAATACATACTTTGATAACAAAATAAAAGATTAATTAAAAACACCATCATCAACAGTCATTAAAAAACCCTCATAATGATGTCTAAAAAGCCTTAAATACAAATTACTGTTTTCTAACTATGAGATTTAAAGAATTTTTTTTTCATCTTCCCTACAATCCTCTTCCCTGCACCCACAGGGAAATTAAAAACTTTGGTCCTCATACAAACTGGTTTTCTTGTATTACTTTCCTGATTTATAAAAATCTTTATACATGTACTTTATTTTTAATCTACTTCTTTTCTGTCCCATTTTGAAGAGGGAAGTTTTTGTTATGGCACATTTATACCCCTCAGAAACAAATCAGTCAATTTCTTGTTTGATAGTTTTCAGCATACTTAGAACATCTTTTCATTAGATGTATTTTCCAGAAAATGTGAGGCAAATTAATTTCAATACGAGTAACTACCCAATAAAACATTTTCTAAACTGGAGTCTAGTAAAGGACAGCAGTCTGGATACTGCTGTAAAATATTAATGTTCATAAATGTTCAGAAAGCTTGAATGATCTGTTATGTTGATAGTGTAACTCATTTCAAATTATTTTTTTTTTTTGGAAAATTGTTCTTTTCAGCATATGATCTTACTTAATTAGCATATTTCCTTGTCTTTGTAATTTAAGACCTTCTTAAAACTGTGTATATTTTTCACACCATTTTTAAACAGGAAACAGGAAATCCTAGATTACTAATTGTCTGTTTTTAAAAATACCAAATTCAAATAAGGGTTAAAAAGGCCTCCATTACATTAAATTCACAAGAATTAGTGTTGTTGCGAAAGAAAAATCAATTTCCTCACATGACATTTTAGGCAGCATAAGATAAGATTTTCCCTAAGATAGTTGTAGTGAAAAAAAAGGCTTAATTTGCTTAAAAGCTTTTTGACACATCTTTCTCAGAGATATCAATAAATGTGGAGAGTGTTGTACTTTAGTATCTGTTAAAATAATAAAAAAGAAATATAGTAACAAACATATTTAGCATTTTTAAAGCTGAAATGAAGCCATCTGTGTCATAACAAAAACATAACACGGAACACACAAAATAAAATAAAAAATGCCGATCAGCAATCTAGCAAGAAAGAAGTTAAAATGTAGTTCTGAATATCTGATAACCAACAAATCCAAGTACTGTTTATTGTTGTAGCTCTGAAAACACAGTTCTGCTTTAAAGCAGATTACTGAACAATGTTTAAGAGACTAAATTAAACATCAGCTGCTCAGACAGAACAGAGCCCCATTGTTTCAACTCTGTTTAGGAAATCTTAAAATCAGAGTCCATTGGAGATCCCAGGCCTATCACTGGGGATCTGCCTCACTGCTGTTTATTGCTCACATTGTCTGAATCCAGGTTCTCTTGTTGCAGTTTATAGAATAGCAGCACAGAGCAGGGCGGCTCTGAGTGTTTGCACAGGGACATCAAGGCTCCAGAGCCCCTGGTTCATCTCCAGAGCTCCAGAGTTGGTCAAAAAGAGAAGAACAACAACAAGAAGAAAAAAGTTCTTTGAACTCCCCTCCCCGCCTCAGTCTAAAGCCTTTCATACTAATTCCTGTTGATACCTGTTATTTCTTTGATGGTAAATACAAAGCGCTGCAACATCAGACGAGCCTTTGATATGAGAGCACAAATTTAAATCAGTTTTTCTCCAAAGGTGCAGTTTAGCCATTCAGGTTTGTCTGTGCAACTCCGGCCGATCTCAGGTGGGATGACGCGGGCTGATAAACCAGGCTAAGACTGAAGGGGCTCTTTATTTGGCAGAATCATACCCGCAAAGAAAACGAAAAAAAAAAAATGTTTTCATGTCAAGTCATGCATGATCCTCTTGTAATCACTGTTTTACGAGGGGAAAAAGAAGGACAAGTATCATAAGCTCATGTTCAAAGTTTCAGCTCACCAAAATGAAGCAAACACTCTAAAGCTTCCCTTCAGCTGCAGGAGTAACCAGTCATCTCAAAGTTTTCTCCTACTGGCCGAAAGCCCAAGTTAATTAAAGTTCAAATCATTTTGATGCATCCACATTAGAAGTGGATGAAGATTTTTTTTCAAAGCAACAAAGATCAAACATGAGGATTTTTCTCCCAGACTAAATATGCTTTCTGTTTTTTCTTGAAATGACTCAGGACATTCAAGTTTGGGCTTAGGAATATTTAGCGAAGCCACGTTGAAAACATTGTGTTGAGTTTAGTAAGATTTATCAGATCATGTTCCACATTTTTAGAAGAAGTGCAGCCTTATGTAAAGTTAAACTAATGATGAGGCTCCTTTTTAATTGTGTTCTGACATAACACCATTGGGACAGGGAGGCTAGATTTGAGCTTTTCCAGGTCATTTAGTGAAAGAACAAACTCTCGTTATGAATAGTAGAAGAAAACCCATTAAAATGCATCCCCCCTTATAATTATGGTTCCACCCTGCTTGAATACGATCCATATTTCCCAGAATACACTATTCACCCAGTTAAAGAGGTTCCAAAATTAGGTGCTGCACTATCACTAATGACTACCAATTACTCAGCCTCTTGCTCAGCTCAACTTAAACTTCTATCTAATTAAACAACCCGTGTTTCTGTGTAATGCAGAGGGGCACTAACTTGTTCTGCATGCCCTCAAGAGGATGCAAAACAGCAGCCTAGAGTAGAAATGCAAACCCATCTCATTAACACTACAACCTGTTGACAAAATCCTCAAACTGGATGCGGTGGGAGTAGCCCTGTCTGCGGATGTTTGCCGTCTCCAGGATTCCAGTGTAGCGCAGTTGCACCATCACCCTCTCCTTGCAAAAGCGCAGCGCCTGCCTGTCGTCATTGGGTCTGATGCAGCGTACAAAGTGTGGCTGGCCCACCACCATCTTAGAAAGCAAGTCCATCAGGGAGTACTGTGGATTAAGAAAAAAAAAAAACAATAGTAGGAAGCAGAGAATGAGTATGTAAAAGCTGAGATATGTATGGATTCATATCAACAAATGGAAAAAAAGGCACAACTTTTTCCAGGAAGCCTGATATAAAGCGATAACAATTGCTTAGTATTAGTGCTTATACTATGCATTTGTTTTAAAGTCACATAGAATTGACAAAATTTGTTTAATTGCCGAAAGTCTTTGCATTCATAATCTTTTTCTGATATTGTAATACTACACTTTAAGATTAAGATTTTTTAAACAACTCACAATATAAGAGTGATAAGTAACTTAATTTTTATCAGTCAAAAAGATATGTTCTTAAAGGTGTATTTCGCAAGTTTAAAGGTAAATATTTTACTTTTTCTTTCCCATACATGTCCTTAAGGCTGGGTCACACTCTTGGTTTCTGACTCTGCAAGCTCTGAGGAGATTTTTTTTTCCTGTTACATTGGCTGTAGTGCGTATAGAAATACTCCTACTATGCATACAGTGAGCAGAGCAGATCCCAGTCTGTGTGGGCTCGGTTAGAGGTATGCAAACACTGTTGCATATGCCCCATTTTAGACTCTATCTCCCTGAAACTGATCCATGCCGAGTTCAGACTGAGCTTGGTTCAGTTAATTGAGCCAAGCCCGGTTGCTTGGGACCATTTACACACCACGCTAGCAGTTTCTCGCCCCCTATCGGCAGTCCACTATACTACAGCTATCAAGGCAGGAATTACGCAAACAAAGATGGCGGCACACATAAAATTCAGGGACTTATGTGCCAGGATAGCCTCCTCCGCCCAAATTTTAATGAGAGTCTCAATCTCAGCACCATCCCAGGTCGTACCACTCTCTTTGGATGCCATTTATTGTTAATAGGCTGAGAAGAAGTTTATGTTGTGAAAAGGTGAAAAGACCTGTGAATTGCAAAGCCAGACACGCAGGAAAACCTGCAAAATGAGTCAGCGGACTGTAAACAGGAGATGACGCCGTCTGCTCATGCACTTCTTGTTATCAGAGAACCGAGCCACAACTGAACTGTACCGAGCCCTACTGCTGAACTAGTACTAGATTTAGTATGGTTCCGTTGTGTCTGGCACGGTCCAGTTCAGTTGTGGTCCATTTAAACTCAACAGTTATCTCAGTTACCATGCTCGGACGATTCTTAGCATGGTTTTAAAAGGGTAGCGTAAAAGGGGCTATAGAGTCTTCTGTGTTCTGACCAGCCCAATGCATTTTCAATTTGCTACAAGTGGCAAAACTTCATACAAACTGATTTCCCATCTGTGTTTTCAGGAATTTAGAACTGCCCGATGTGTAAAATGACCTTTCCTCTATTTACCGTAGTTGCTTCTATAGGCTTTATTAATCAGTTAACAAGAGAGTGAGTTGGGCTGAATTCTCTGGGCGTGCACATGGGTGTGACATGCCGAGTGCTCTCATTTAACTTGCTACTTTGTTGGAGCTTCACAACAGGAAGGGAACACAGGCGATTGTTTGTTGAGATGGCTCCGAAAACATCAGTCACAAGTGCACCTAGAACCCCATCACAGACTTCATACAAGAGTGAGGAAACAGGTCAAAGTTAAGTTTGACTAACAAGGAATTAAGCTGATATTAGTTTTTACCAAAGGAAGGAGTTCAGATCTGCCCTGGGAATGAAAACCTGCAGTGACATTTCATCCAGAATAACTTTAGTATTCATTACTTTTTTAGCGCAGAAAACATAACACCTCTAAATAACAGAACTGTGCATTACAGTAGCAGATTGTGGTGCTTTTCTTTGTTACTGGTGCCATATCAACTTTTCGCCAAAGGGAAATCTGCCAAAAAACCTGGAACTTGCACACTGCCCCTTTAAATTACCGGTAGTAAAAAATATCACACATGACTGGCTGATAAAAAAAGAAAAATCTGGTCGACATGTTTGCTAATCTGTGAACCCCAGTCTCACACTGACTGCTCCCTTTGATGCTTGTCATTTTCACTTTGTCTCTGTGTGCAGAAATTCTAAAGAAAGTGAATTGAATCAAATGTTTGTTTGCTTTTTAAACAAAGGACCTTGAATTCAATTAGTACACCTTTTGAAGACATTAAAACATAACCAGGCTGCATAATGGAGCACTGGTTTGACTGCATGTAAAGTGTGCATGTATTACTAGCAACTTAATACTATGTTTTCTAACTGTTCAACTACACACCAAGTCGAACTTTATCCCTTATTAAGCAATAAGAGAATAAGACGTTGCACTTGTGGTGTATCCAAATTGTCTTTGTGATGGGAAGTTATCGTGTTCAAATTCAGCAAAACAAAAATCTAAGGAGAGACACAAGTAAAGACCTTAATTTGTCATGATCCGATAAGGGTATGTAATCTCAAAAAAAGATGATAAGAACATGAAAAACGTTTTAACCTGGATATTTTTTCCTTTATTTTGAAATAACAGGCTTCTTAAATTGGCGCAGTGGGTAGCACTGCTGCCTTGCAGCAAGAACGTTCTGGGTTTGATCCCTGGCCCGGGGTCTTTCTACATGGATTTTGCATTTTTTCCCTGAGCATGCGTGGGTTCTCTCCGGATATTCCGGCCTCCTCCCACATCTTCTTCTAAAAATGACTGTTAGGTTAATTGGCTTCTCTAGATTAGATTAGATTAGATTAGATGAGGTTTATTGATCTCACAGCGGAGAGATTCTCCTTAGGTGTGAGTGTGTGCGTGAATGGTTGTATGTCTTGTTTGTCTCTGGGTTGCCCTGCGATGGACTGGCAACCTTTCTAGGGTGTACCATTGACTGCTGGAGATAGGCACCAGCACCCCTTGCGACCCCAAATGCATGTCAGATAATGGATGGATGGATGGATGGATGGATGGATGGATGGATGGATGGATGGATGGATGGATGGATGGATGGATGGATGGATGGATGGATGGATGGATGGATGGATGGATGGATGGATGGATGGGGCTTCTTGAATTTAAATTTCCATATTCAAATCAAATCCTGTCCCAGCCATAAGCTGTACATTGTGATGTAATTTTTATTAAGTTAACGAAACAATACTTTTAGATCAATCCAAGGCTTCCGGTTTCCGGACAGGTCCTCTTACTGCCTTCTATGTTTAGAGAGTGAAGCTCCTTTGTCACATAAAGTGTAAAATGCTGCACTGTTTTGATAATCCTGAAAACTTTCATATGATTGGCTTAGAAACGAGGAAATTAAAACTGGCTATATACATCTCAATTTCTATAGGGAATGTAACTTTAATTCCAGGTAACAGATGAAAATTCTTTTTGGTGAATTTTAAAGTACATTTCTTATTGCTCTTTTCATTTTTGATCTAATACCATAGATGGTACTAATTTATCATCCAGAATTCTAAGTTTGATTAATGTTGTTTTTATTGGCTGAGTACCAGAGTGGGTTATAGAATCTTTCAAACTGTCTCTAGTCTTTCTTTGATCTTGTTATCTGATGCTATTGATACAGTTGAAGTTCATCAATTGTGCATGAAGCACAATAAAACAGATCACGACTTGGATTTTTCTTTCTTTTCAAGATGATTGGATGCCTGCAGAATCTAAATATCTATCAAAAGCAACAAAGAGACATAAAAAAGAAAGACAGACAGACGGACAAACTTTTTTTGATTACTGAGATATTAGAACAAAGAAACCTACACGGAAGTATGATGCCATAGTTTGCCTTCTCATGCTGGTGGTTTCTTCTGGGTGTCGCATCATCTCCATGGTGTCCACCTGGACATAAGCATTCAGAGTTAAAATCCTACAATCTTGGAACCAGTCAGACTTGACCCAAGACTTGTAAATGTGAAGTTTTTAATGTGCAGCCTGGCTGTTCTTAGTAGCCTCTGCAGAGATATCATTATTGCACAGATAATATAGCAGCTTTTCTTTTACTAAACAGGCAACATGGGAATACGCAGCTGCACTAAGTGCCGTTAAAGCAACAAAAAGCTGATAAACAGTTAAAACCAACTATCTAGAGAATAATTCGGCACTGCTGAGGGGCATGGGAAAATTGCAGAGCATTGCGGGTAATAAGAGTTGCCTCCACCGCGCAGACAGTCATTCGAATGACGACGGATTAACGAGGACACAGTTTAAGCTTTCTAACAGCCCTTACATTTCATAGCTTCATCAAAATTAATGATGCAATATATATTTTATGGCAAGTCAATGCAGCAAAGTGCATATCTGAATACTTTATTTTATTCTTGCTCAAAGGAAGAAAGGTATCTTCTCTGGGTGCAAAAACAGAATAAGGTTTTCTCATACTTTGTACTTGTGCATGTATCTGCTTTCAGATGAGCAAATGATTATCTTGGACCCACTTCTACTTTCTAACAAGCATGGCAACACTTTAATCAGACAACTTTTTATGAGGGTCAACTTTTCTCCGGTTCTGATTGAGAAAAAGGCAGCATACATATCGCATCAGTCCCACTGAGCTGTTATTAGTGAGACTTTTTCCCCGTCAAGAACAAAAAAAGAGTAGGCGGAAGTTGGAGGAAGTTCATCAAAGAAAATCTGTTTTTCAATGGTTATTTTTCCCAAAATGTTTGTTTCTAATTTCAAGAGGTTTTTCTTGAATTGCAGAGACATCTAAGAGTATTTGTTTACATTGATAACACAGAATTGTTGCTGTGTGAGAAAAATATTTCAAAAGAGATAATTTACATTTTCCCCTGCCAGATACTGATTGAAGTTAGAAAAGCAAAGCTCCACACAATTCAACCTTCACTAAAATGTTCAGTTGATTTTGCAGCGCTTCCTTTAATGACAGCTCGCAATTTGGATACGCTTTACAGTTTTGGGGGAAATGCATGTAGATTTAGAGGGTTTTACTGGTTGCAACTAAAGTCTTACCTTCAGTAGGTATTTTGGAGACTTTGGGTGCAGCATGTGTTTGCCAATCACATAGAAAAAGAGGAAAAAGAGAAATGGAGGGACAGAAATTGAAAACACTCACCCTAAAGTAGGGTGTCATTTTAAACCATCAGGTGATTTTGTGTGTGTGTAGAAGGATGGAAGGCAACAGTCACTGTCCTCTGCTCACTTATTGGCCCCCCAAGCAAACATCTGAAAAACCTAAACTGAAGTCTTTGTTTCACAAACATAATATGAAGTTTTGAAGAACAGGTGTTTTTCAAAACATGTGTTTTCAAAACATTTGTTTGACAAGCAGATACTTTCATAAAATATAACCTTTTTCCAGCGTAACATAGAATAGAATAGAACAGAATAGAATAGAATAGAATATAATAGAATAATCCCTCATTGTTCTATATTTAGAAATTTCAGTGACATCAGCAATGAAACAAATGGGTAAATGAAAGCATACATGTACTCAAAAGACTAAAAATATATAAGAGAAGAACAAAAATAAAGAAGTTTACAAAGATTAAAGCAAGAGAAAAACTACAAGACAATTCATTTGAATTATTTTTTTCTGAGTATGACTGGCCTCAATTATACTGCACAAATGTATTCAAATTAAATTCTATAAAATCATGGGGATCTGATTTTTTGCATCTTCACACATTTCTATGAAATAAATGTAAACTTTTTGAAGTTGTGTATTAAAACATTCATCATCAATTAATCAACTGCTAAAAATAATAATGTGAAATCGGAGGGGGGAAACATTTATTGACAATTCAAATTCCTACAGCTCTCTTAAACACTTCATAGGTTCAGCGCTACATCATCAGACATCTCAGTTTTCCCCCTCCGGAGGACAAAATGGTGTGAATCGTGTTCAAGTGTCCTTTCTGTCATAAGAGAATTCAACCCATGAGCTTCCACAAAAAACTCCCTGAAATACCAGAAGTAACAATTTGGTGAACTCTTCCACTGGTAGCTGAAAATGGGTCAATATTGGGCCTTTCATCAGGACGTTGATCAAACACTTGGCTGAAATTAATACAGAACCATATCTTGAAAGAAAGTTCACTTTTTCCAAGGCAATCTCAATCCTAAGAACCAAGATTATAAATAACTCTGGACAATAACCCTAATAAAAAACGAAAGACACCAAGGTTTATGCATGCTCTAGCTCAGTGAACATGGACTGAAGACTGTAACTATTAGGACATTAGGAAATACCACAATAAATTAGACCCCAGTATAGCATTTGTCAACCAAATTCTGTTAATTTTTAAACAACTCTATAAATGTGCCTGTTAAGTGGGAAAATAAATTCAGTATTTGTTACTTTAAAGAAACAGTTTTGGCAAATGACGGTTCCAAAGACAGATATATGGTCAAGCATGTTTTATGAACCAATAAATAGGTTTAAATGTTTGAATATGACACTCTTTTGAAGTTGATGTTTGCACTGCATAAATCCATTAATGAATTCAATAAATTCTCCACTGTCTGTTAGCAAGAAAACTCTGATATATGACTTTCAAGCTGCAAACCCAAATAACAGATGGCAATCCTACATCACCACAAGCTAGATAGCCAACAGGGTAGGTAGTCAATTAATATGGCTATGCTTCATAGCGCAGCTTTTACTGTGTTTCTTATGGAGCAATGCCTGTGAGCAACAAATAAAAAGCAGTGCTTGCTAATTCACATTACTGGGACCTCACCTTGCTGCGTCCTGAGCTTAGTTGAGGAGGCAGAGATCTGGAGGCAGCAGTGACCCGAGCCCTGGACATCGCCAGATTGCCTGTTGAATATTAAATCATTACAATAATAAGTCACTTTTGGCAGTTTCCAGATAAAAAATAAATCATAAAGTTCTTCACAATGAAATATGATACTGCTTCATTTGAACAGTACAACATAAAACGAGTAGAGAATTTAGATCCTTAAAGGAATAGTACACCCAAAACATGATTAGCCTTCATTTTCTACTCACCCCCATGCTGCACAACACTCTGGAGTACTTTTTTGATATCTCAAATGCATCTGGAGATCTGGGAGGCTCCTTGCTGTCTGCTGACATTCAAATAATGGAGGTCTACGGCGCCCGAGACAGAAAGGTCCACAAAAGTCCACAAAAACGTGTCAATATTCCTCCATACTGCTCGTCCAATGTAATCCAAGTGTCCTGAGTGGGTAGCGTCCATAATTTACTCGAAACGAAGTCATTTAGAACGTTTTAGAGCCTAAACAGTAGTGTATAGGATTTCCTAATAGCGCCCCCATGCGCGCTCACGATTCTACGGAAGCCGGCAGACCAAACCAGCGCATTCAGCTCGGCAAAGAACTCATGCTCTTCCTCAACACTGAAGTCCTCAGACATTTTTCTTTCGTTGTTTCTTTCTTTGCACAGGTAAACAGCACATTTCTTCTTCTACGCTTGCATTATCGGCAGAGCAGACGCTGAATGCGCACTTTCTTCCGGTTTGGTCTGCTGGCTTCCGTAGAATCGTGAGCGCGCATGGGGGCGCTATTAGGAAATCCTATACACTACTGTTTATGCTCTAAAACGTTCTAAATGACTTCGTTTCGAGTAAATTCTGGATTCTACCCACTCAGGACACTTGGATTACATTGGACGAGCAGTATGGAGGAATATTGACACGTTTTTTGTGGACTTTTATGGACCTTTCTGTCTCGGGCGCCATAGACCTCCATTATTTGAATGTCAGCAGACAGCAAGAAGCCTCCCAGATCTCCAGATGCATTTGAGATATCAAAAAAGTACTCCAGAGTTTTGTTCAGCATGGGGGTGAGTAGAAAATGAAGGCTAATCATGTTTTGGGTGTACTATTCCTTTAAACCGCAGTCCAGCAGCTTCTGGATAAAGGGAACAAAAGCCAAATTACTTCCTTGGCATGTCCTTACATTTTACAGAGGCCTGGCCATTATCCATTCATATGTTTTGGGTGTGAAGAAGAAGGCATGCCAAAACTTTAGGAAAGTGGCACGGACGTTACCCATGCCCTAGAAAATACCATGCCTATATGGAACTCAAAATAACTTAATGTCCTAAATGTCAACCCATGTCAAAAACATGAAAACACATGACTTTTTACAACTGAATTGCATAAATTGAATCTAAATGGCCATCAGATTGAGAGGCCTATTCATAAAGGTGATGTAGAAAACATATTCAAAGGCACAAGTTTCCAACTCACTGTGATCATGCAAAAACAAAAAGATTTAAGCAGTTCTAATGGCCTTATGGTAATGATTATTGAGAAATACTAAAAACATCCGACTGAGGCAATTGCACTACAATGTTTGTGCTCCTACAGCAGCTGCCTCATAAAATACTATTCAAGGAGCCTAAATCTCTGTGAATCCCATGGACTCAGGAGTGCAGCTGCATGCACAGCAGTCAAACAGGCACACACACACAGTAGAAAGGATATGAGCATAGCATATGCAAGACAGTCTGAACATTTCAAAGTTTCTGCACAAGATGTCCAAATGTTTTCTCTGGCTATATCTTCAGAGGCTAAACTGTGATTAATAGCAGTGAAAGAAGCCTTTGAAGCAGGATTGGTGACATCAAAGTCCTAATCCATGGGTGGCAGGATTTTTATAATGAGTGGGAAGTATCTTAACACATTTCAAAGGGTTTACTCCATGAATAAACAATAGCTGCACAGATGTGGCACACACACCTTTAGAAAAATATGTCTGCAGACACAGGAGGCAGCATTACCCAGGCAGCCGAGTATGGCAGGGTGGTAAACCTTTGTAAGTTTTCTAAGATAAAGCCGAACTGACAGGCCAACAATTGTTCTAGATTGTCTACCACATAAATCCCAACTTTTCAAAATGCAAATATACATTTGGCTCCTTTAATATCTCGCGTCACACACCGAAGACGTCGTCTGACAGAGAGCCAGAAAAACAATAAAGACTGGTTCAGCGGCAGGCTTTCCTCAGAGGCCGATCAGAGGAGTGTTGGAAGTTTTAAGCATGGCAAGAGATCAAAAATTGACTTTAGATGGATTAATCAACAGCTGGCCCTATTCTAACTTTAGACAAAGGACCCCCTATTGGCGCTAAGGGTTCCACGGCAAGCCAAAGCAACTTAGTGCCTCATGGGACAAAAATATAAACAGAAACATTAATGCATATACTGCTGTTGTCCAAACAACCCTAAACATATAAGGTAAGAACACATCAAAAGATCTTTTCAAGCTTGTAGTGATGGTGCTTTTATATTCCGACAGTCGTCAAATGATTGTATGCATGTTTTTGCAAATGTATTACGCTGTTAATGTTCTGACATATTTAAATATGTCACTTTAAATCTGCAGAAAATACATTAAAAAAAAGTATATACATGGTCTTAAAAATATGCTATGATGAAGAGATTTGGCCAAAGACCTTGACTTTAAGGAAACCAGAGGCAGGTTTTTATTACCACGAACGGTACTTCGGCACCATTATCCCCCCCTAAAAAAAAAGAGTGATCTTTAAGAACGGCGCTGTTAAAGCTGTGTCGGGTACATTACTAACACACAGGCAGGGAGGGCCCAGCTCCAATTAGCCCAGAGTAAAGCTGGATGGATTAATTGGAGTGGGTTTGTGCAAATGAAGTGCGCTCTCTCCTCTCCCCATTAGTGCTGCTGGGCCAGATCATCTGAGCACATTTGTCATGATGAATTAGCAGCTGCGAGTGGAACGGGCTCGTAGAGTGTCACTGTGCTTTCACGCCTCTCACTTCCATGACACCATCAAGAGGAGATGAAGGGGGCTGCGCCACGAAGAGACAAACTATGACAGTTGTACCTAAGCCTCGCAAACGGACACTCACCGCTTTCTTCACTTATTCCTTGGCGGGTCGTATTAATTCACATTTCTTGCGGATTTTGCATCCCCCTTCAGACTACATGATTAGAGCATGGGTTAATAGTCAGTATCCTCAAAGATTTCCTCCCCTTGAGACATTAAAACCATGGGAACACCTATGATGTCCGGCCTGAAAGGAGACACTCTAATTTAGATACAGTGGGGAAACTTGTCTAATGATGGGGATCATAATTATTCAAACAGAGAGAAGGACAAGAAGGGGAAGATTTGTTCTTTGACATTGAGGGGAGAAAAAAAGCTTCATGCGTTTTTAGATTCAGCCAGAGAGTTCGCACTTTTATCAGTTCTCTCAAATGAGGAAAATAAATGAAAGTGAAAAGAAGTTGTGAAATAAGAGATTAAAAATTAAAAAAGGAGTGCAGGTGAGTTGAATTTTCCCCATCAGGTCATTTAGTTGTGAGAAACAGGTGGACAAGCCTCCCCGCTGTTCGTTTCTGCTTCATGCATGTTGCTTTTGGCGGTGACTTCTAGGACAACTGAAGAGAGAGGAAGAGTGGCATTTGGGGAGGGGGCAAAAAGAGAGAAAAAAAGAAAACCCTTCCTTGGCATCTGTGCGTTCACTTTGAAAATTAAGCCCAGCAAGAATCCTGTAGGAGAAAAAAAAAAAAGCTCAAGCTGGCAGTTGTATTGGGGCTCTATTGACAAGAATAGTCAATGTGCCTAGGATTAAAAAGCAATCCCGCGTTCAATATGACACCTCCCTACACGCCTTTATGAGTGCCAGTATGTGGCTTGTACTTCTGAAGCTGTGGATCGAGCTGTCGACACAGGGGACAATCAAAGTTGTACGAGCGAGCAGCCTTACCGAGCTGAGTGAGCAAAGGCTTGCCGGATATCACCCCTGCTTTTCCCGCTCTCTTTTTCAAAACATATGATCTCGAAACCCAACTCAGCAACCAAGCAAATTAGATTATAGGACCCATAACCCGACGCCACCCTCCCCACCACCACCGTTTATGCCTGGAGATGGCTTCAGGGGCTGTTGATTTAAATGCCATCCAGTACTGTCAAAGCAGATCAATCATAAAACGCATGGTGTAATTGGCTTTTAGTGACACAACACAGTGTTGCATTTATCAAAGGATGTTGCACCATGTGACTTCTGAGAGCCGGCTCCCTGCCACTGATGTGCGGGGTCGCCATAAATCCCAGTGCTGACTCAATTTTTTTTCCAAATACAACTATTTGGAAAGAATAATTATAAAAGTATTACTCAGTGCGTGTATTTCTTGGTAGTTTTCTAGGAGAAGATCTGCCTGTTGGGATGAAAAAAGGCCTGTGCTGGGAAGAGAACAAAGAGTCAAACGTGTCACAGACAGAGTAGGGAGAAGCCTGTCAAGAGGATCTCCTTTTACATGAAGGCACATAGAGGATGGGAGAACTGTGGCCTGGCTTGGAGATGTAAAAAAATAAAGTTTAAATATTTGACAACTTATGCTTTAAAGCTTGAAAGATCATAAGAGAACTTGTTAGGTTTACAAGCATCATTGCATCTGCAAACTTAAAAAAAACACCTAAATGTAGGCAGTCAAGGAAAAAAAAAAATTATGGTTATTTAGGTTCCTGTTAAAACTTCCATCATTAAAGTTTTGCATGTGTGCTTTTAAGACTTGAAGCTATTTTTTGTAAATGCAGTCACCAGGGCAAAAAATACATAAACATACACCCTCTCCAGGAGGGAGGCTCTGAAGATTTTCCCAGAGGTGGAGGTTAAAACACACAATGTAGTGAATTTCAGAGATATGCCAGACACAACACATCTGCATAAAACCTAATGATTAAATCATTCTCAGATGGGTTACTGAACTGTAAAATATACACAAGCTTTGGGAGAGTACTTAAAGAAATCTGGTCAATAATCAACTTGTCCTTTTTTGTTCTGAAAATATT